TACAGGCGACTTTACCAAAACAGACAATTGTGCGAAAAATAATAGAAAAAGAACTGATAGGAAAAAGAAAAAAAAAAGTAATTAGAAATAAAAACAGCTAAAATAATATACTAGTTAGATATCAAAGTAAAACAAGAAATATAAAAACAATACAACCGAAAAAAAAACAGAAAACGGAAGTGAAAAATGATAAAATAGGAAAAATGTAAAAACAGTTATTAAAAAATTGAAAAAGAATAACTTTAGGATAAGATAAAATCCCAAACGAAACCTGGGTCTACAATGGTAGCGAAATTACGACAGAGCTATATTCTGCGTTTGGGCATAACAAAAATCTGCGTACTTAAACTATTAAATTGTTTCAAACTTTAAATGGTTTTATTCGAACTCCAAATAAACACATTGCTTTAATGTATTACGTTTATGAAGTTTATTGTTCTTAAAAGGTGGTACGTTAAAATCAATAGTTCAGAAGCAGGTGACGTGATTTGAAAATTTTCTCTTGTAACCCTGCAAATGAAAATGTGACAATATAAATGCATATTTAAAAAAGAAAGGATATTATAAGAAATATGATACATATATTCTTTATTGTAAACGCATAAGAAAGTAAAATAAAACAGAAAGGTAATAACCCATCATCTGTATCGCAATATATGTCTATTTAAGTATTTAATAAAGAATAAAGTATTCAATTTTTAAAAATGAAGTATTTTTGTTATAGGATGAATGTTTCGTTTATAGGATATTTAGTAAAATGTCAATTATATTTAACAGTCTCATTCGGCCACATTATACTTTGGTAACCGAATCTGTGACCTGATAAGTACATTTCGTCAGAGCATTAGTGCGTGAAACCAAAGATCCGGGGTTCGATTCCCGGCGAGGGTGTGAAAGCAGCAACAGTTTTTTCTCATTAATTTACGGCAATTCGTAATGGATAAAAATTAAGTAATTAATATTCAATCACATTTAACTTGACGGATACAGTAAACTTATAATATCATCAACTTTTCAACGAAGTATCAGATTTCATGACAACCGTAATACTTTTGGTTCTTACTATCAAGAAGTTTCATGATGCAAATTTGTTTTTACTACCTTGTAAATTTTCGATAAACTGTTCATAGTCATCACATAATTGGACATTTAACACAATTATTATTAATATCTATTATTCTTTAAAAATCGTACTACTGCATTATTTTTTGGAATTGTTTCAGTCCACGTCGCTTAACAGGCAGGTATATTTAATTGCGACATCAGGGATAATAAAAAAACCTAATTACATTCAATTGTATGCAGCCCTCGGAAAGAAAGTGCGGCACCCTCTCCCGGAGTATTGACGCCCTCGTCTTCGGCTCACACTCGGGAGGGAACAAATTACAAAAATTACTTTTCTTACCCGATCAAGATATTTTCAGGCTTTTAAAAGCTCATTTAAAATAGAAAATGTTTGGTGCAAATGTATATATGCAGTATAAGCGAGTGAAAAAGAAAAGTACTTTATTTTTAAATAATAAAAATCACCACCGATAGATCCGATCACACATTCGAATATATAGAATTGTTTTGATTGTTTTATAGTGTCCAAAGATGAAGTTAATTTGTTGCTATATAATAGTAAAGTATATATTATTTGATTTATTTGTTAGAGCAAGATCCTATAGCCGCAACACATTACTTATTTCCTAACAAAATGGGTGGGATAGAGTAGTGTTAGTACAGCGTCTAGCAGAAACTACCGTCGATGGACAGTGTCTGACAGCATTGGTTGTTCGGTGTCGATGTGTTCGATATTTGTATATTTGTGTATTTTTTTATAGTGTATTTAGTTTGTATTTATTTTGTATATATTTGTATGTCATGATTTCTGTGTAACTTCAAATTGTGTTCACAAATAGCTTTGGGCTTCTTTATTACACCCTTCAGGTCAGAGGCGGATTAAATGTTGAGAGCGCCCGAGGCTAGCGTAGACGCCCCTCTGGCGGTCATGTATTTTGCAAAATTATTTTTGGAAGCAGGTATTTTCTTATTTTTTTTTAGTTTAAAAACTTTTGCGCGCGCCCCTTCCTAACCTTGCGCGCTAGGCATGTGCCTAGTTTGCCTTATGGATGCTGCTTCAGGTAGGTATCAAAGAATAGAGAAAGTCCAAGTCCCCAACTACGTCACGTCGGACTTTTTCTGGATACCTTGAGGGTGCATAGTAACAACAAAAGCGTTGACCGAGGGGGTTTTACTTAAGGGACGTGTCCTATTTTGGTGCAGACTATTAAAGTCCTAGACAAAAGGTAGAGATATACCGAGCGGCATTGCCTAGAGGTCTAGACCATTGCTTAGCATTCGGGAGGACGCCGGTTCGATTCCGGGTCCGTCTCCCTTGGTCCAAGTTTTTCTGTGGTTTCCTTGGATGACCTAGGCAAATGCTGAGGCAGTAATATTCCACAGATAATCTTTCATTCTCTTCTGTCTTCATTTCGTCCGTCTCATCTTTCTCACCTGAACCACCACCCACCCATTCCCACGATTCTTGAAAGCAGGCTGAAGAGGGCCTTCCGCCCTACCTTCCGGCATAGTCCGGAGGGACTGCCCGCCCACCAGAATTACTGGCTGGTGGGAATGAAACACCCAAAAGTTTTTCTAAAAGCTTTTTGGTAGAGATATTTCTCTGAGGCTGCAGTTAGGTTCGCGGCTAGTCTCCGGGCCTTAGTGTCAGGTCCTCCAAACCAGTCCATCTCGACACTTGCCGACTTCGCCCCTAAACCAAACGACCGTTTCAGAAGGCTGTGCCACCTTCTATTCTGAGCTAATTCCTTTCCGCTCATTCCTAGTTTCGCTTTTTTAGAGCGAGTGCCCACCAAACCTATCCGATTCCTATTTCCGCACAATGCTTCCTTTCCATACCCATTCCCCTTCCTGCTCTCAACCTCTTCCACTCTTTCCTGGGATGTATAACCTCCTGGTTGATCTCCCTACTAGAGGAGGAGTTTTAGTCGGTAGGCGCTTCGGCGAATCCGACAATACCCCCTTTTAGGGGGTGTCTTTTGAAGATTTCCCCTCCTCGAGGAAAACCCAAAAAAAAAGATAAAAAATCAATTCATATTCAATTTAAATTCATAATTATGTTCAAGGTATCGATTCATATTCATATTCAAATTCAAATTCAACCATACGAATTATTCAAAGTTTTTACAATTCAACTATACCAATTCAAGTCAAATTTTATTCAACCTAATCAATTAGTGTAAAAATGTAAATAAATTGTAAATAGAAAAGCAGTCTTTAATTCGAAGTGTATAACCAAAAGAGTGGGATACCGCCACATACGTCAACAACTAACAAAATCAAGCATCAAACAATTTAACAATATTTTCTGAAACATTATGTAAAAATCAACACCCAGACTTTAGAAAAACCAGTACCTAATGTTTTTACCTTTTTACGTCTCTTTAGCATCTTTATACGTACTAACACTACTGTATCTCACCCATTTTGTTACTCACGGTCAGAAAATGAGTAATGTCGGACGGCTGTGGTATCTTGGACTAAATGGTAATGAAGTTGTTTCAATTATATTTACGTAATTAGGAATTATTATTGATTAAAAAAATGCCTATAGGTACCCTTCGTAGAACCTGCGCAAGATCATGCAAATTTCCGTGTACATCCAACTCCTTCGTTCTCGGGAAAAAAGGATTTCTTATAAGCAAATCGTATTGTTTTTTAATTTGATCGTCCAAATGGTTGCACTCCATTTCATGACTTTTCATTGCTTCGGTCATTCGCCTATGAATATGATTAAATTCCTCAAATTTTTTATTATAAAATAGAGTCTCGTCTTTAGAGCACCATGCTGGCTTGTGACAAGTTGCTGGAACGCAAAATTCCGATCTTGTTTTTATTGGCAAGGCTCTTGCAACTAATAATTTTCCTTTGTGGATACAACTATTCATGTTTATTTATTTTCTTTTTTTTTTTTAATTCACATAATATGCGAAAATGGAAATTAATTGTATTTGGACTGTAAATGTCAAAAATGTTTTTAGATGTCATTACGTGTAATCCTTGGAGAATCGCTCTTATAACAACCTATTTTTATATGTAGGAACTAAAGATACATCATAATAAGGAGGAACGTTCCAACATTAATATTCACAGCAAAAGCGGCATGACAGAACTAAACTTAAACTTTTGGGTGTTTCATTCCCACCAGCCAGTAATACTGGTGAGCGGGCAGTCGCTCCGGACTACGCCGATAGGTAGGGCCTCCTTTCAGGAATCGTGGGAATGGGTGGGTAGTGGTTCGGGTGAGAAAAATGAGACGGACGAAATGAAAACAGAAGATAATGAAAGATTATCTGTGGAATATTACTGTCCAAGCATTTGCCTAAGTGATCCAAGGAAACCACAATGGTCTAAATCTCTAGGTCATGCCGCTCGGTGCGACATGACTTAAACTAGAAATTTATATAGTTGGGACGATCAAACTTGGTGAAGTACGCAATAAATTATCTTCCTTCTTGTTTCCACTTAGGACTGTAGTCATTTCGTACATTTTGAGCACGTCCTTGTTGAGTTAGGGGATGCTTCCTGAGTAGTACAGACAAAGTGAAAAGAGATAACCGAATAATAGTAAACGGTAAAGCGGTTAGAGGTTGGTTAGAGTCGGCTTTATAGCTGCATGGCTGAAATTATATCTTTATTAAACAAGCATCCGATCCGACGAGACTTGAACCTTGATAAAACTCTTGTACAAACTAGATCGACTTACGAGTTTAGATGGTTTAGGGAGTCGAACCATAGGTTCAACCATAATGGGGGGGGGGGGTTCTTAAAAAGAAACCAGACTAAGACAAGTTCCCGAAAGAGGATAGCAGCTTTTTCAGTACTCGGGGTGGCAGAGATCACGAGGATCGGTATGGCACCCTGATGCACAATACTGCGATGTAGAAGGCAACGGGAAACCACCACATTATGATCCCGAGTAAAACGCACGTTTAAAATTAAATGATGGCGTCCTCTAGGGTAAAGCACTCCGGACGTAAACTAGTTCCCCATTCGGATGTCCGAGCGGGGACTATCTCGGGGGATGTCATCAATAAGTGCAATAGGGATAGGTGCAATATTTCACGAGTCGGAGCGTGGAATATTAGGACAATATGTTAAGCAGGGAAATTAGAAAATTTAAAAGTAGAGATGGGTAGATTAGAATTAGATATAGTAGGTATTACTGTTCGCAAATAGTTAAGGATATGGGTTGTTCTAGTTTTAGGGAAATGCGAAGTTTAACTCAGGATAGGAAAGAGTGGATGTACGTGTCCAACCAGTCTTAAGACTGACGATCTTATGATGATGAAACAAGCATCTTTGCTCTCCTAAATTCCTGAGAGTGTTGAACAATCTTTAAAGTCAGATTCTGGCAACATACTGAAATACTGTTTACCTGCATCTCTTTCTGTTAGACATTACTCGGTATAATGCTATTTCTTTTTCTTTATTAGTGTGCTTATCTAACATCCCTTTTTTGTATAAATTTACGATATTCCTTATTACAGCATCTGTCGTGAGTAAAAGTAGGCGTTCTGTCAGCAACTGGCCTTGTGTAGTTGAAAGAAGGAAGTAAATGCCACAGTTTTATTACGGACTGGGCCAATTTTGAATGTATTACATCATATATTTCCTGTTGATTAATTATTCACAACTCGGTACTACATACTTATATTTGCGTCCAATGAAGACATTTTTCAAAATCTCCTTCTAGTCTTGGTGTCGGTTTATTGTTGGTTTTGAGTGTTAAGTCTTGGCCTTGCTCATTTCATCTGATACTTTTTTCACATAGTTTACACAATCCGGAAATGTCTTTTAAATCAAAAATATTGAAAAATTCATTTTTATTTCTAACATTTGTCTTTTCAAGTTTTTTAGATTTAACTAGTTTTGTTTAGCAGTTTCAGATTCTAGACTAACTACATTTGAACTACACACTACATTGTCATTCAAAGTTTCTTCAGATTGCACTCATTTTGAAATTGTTTTTGTTTAAATAGATAAGAAAGTACACTTACACTTATCTAAATTCACATTAATTTATAGGCAATAGTCAATAGACTTACTTTGAAGTTTCTGTTTAAAACTGAAACTTGGAGATGTCTGAAGTTGTAATAAACAGTAGTATGAAACTATAAGTAATTAAAGAATTTCCCATTACTTTTACAGTAATTACATTCAAGAAATGATACCACCTATGGTAATTGGGCTAGAACGTAAATTTGGTTCAATCGAGGAGTTATAAGACTAGTATGTTAAACAGATATATATTTAATACAACTTCATGGTGTCTTTTTTCTATATAAAATCGGTACAAATTGCACGAACTATTTCAATTATAACCAGGACCGTATTTCTATTTTTTAATTATTGTATGGGTACTCATTCTCTACAGGGAATGAAGATGCTACTTGGAGTATTTGAACCGCTTTTCTATGGAATTGACTAACTTTGCTCGTTTTTCTCTCTTTCTACATTCTAAATGCCTTCTATTTATTTCCTCCATTTCTTCTATCCAACGTTTACGCGCTGCCATAAACGAAGGGCCTTTTTGTGCACAAGAATTTAAGGCGCTGATTATTCTTCGATAAAGGCGCTCCCCCATTTTATATTATTTCATTATTACTTAAATTTTTTTCTTCATTATAATTTTGAATTTTTTGACATGTTTGTTTGTCAATTAAAAATTGACATTGTGAAAATTTCAATGCTTCCTTATTATGGAATCAAAACCTGCAGCATGTCTCGTAGACTCATTTGTTTTTTGAACAAAAAAATGAGTTTTAAAAGCAAACAAATATGCATAGGTATATATGACAAGTATGTCTGTCAAGATATTATCATAAATATTCGTAACTATACGTACTGACGCTCTAATTGTTTCGTTTAAAAGTATTGATGTGAAACATTTTTAGTCACACCTGCAGGGGTAAAAACAAGTATGGCAAGATACTTTCATTGCATCATCGGTGTATATCTGAGTGAATTTAATAATAAGAACATCGTTTCGGATTAATGTCGATATATCACATCTGCCAAGTGTCCCATGACAACCAACTTTCTGTTTATTAATTTCTTAGTAAACAGCATCACCATCAGCAAGAAAACTGGTTGAGCACGCACTTCCACTTTTTCTCATCTTAAGCCAATCTTCGCATTTCTCATAAAGTAATAGAACTACCTAAATCTCTTTTAACGAGTAGTAATATTATCTAGGTCTACATCTACCTCTTTTAACTTCTTATAATGTCTTTAATTAGTTCCTCATGCCTGAAAGGATGTCCCACCAATTTAACTGGCAAATTTCTTATTGATTTCTTATTCCATTGTATTTAAAGTAATCTCTAACTCCTCCTTGCTAGACGCTTATATTTCTACATCATGCGCAAATCTAAGCATGCTAATGTTTTGTCCCTGTATATCTGACCATAATAATAATAAGCTTAATAATATTAATCGCACATTCGATAACTCTTCGATCTCTATATCTCATTCCTACATCCTTAAGTTTTTTAGCATCTTTTTCCATTAAAAAAGCATGAAAAATAATGCATCATTAGGTACACATACAACAGGACCAAATCCATTGAAGAGGTCGTAAAATCCTTATTTATATAACAAATGTGAATGGGAGTTTGTTTTTTGTCTGTCTGTCGATTTTTCACGCCTTAACTACTCAACTGATCAGCATGAAACTTTGTACATCCATTGTAAGGGATACAGAAAATCACATAGGGTATGTGTAGTAGTAAATTATTTATGTTTATCTTAGACGTTCGATAATCGGCAATGTTTACATTCTCCATCCATGGAACTGCAGAAACACCCATGTTTCCAATTCACGTACAGGATCGGTCTAGGTTCTTAAATTCGTTTTTTGTCCTTGACCACGCTGCTGAACTCACTGTGTGATTTTTTATTGCATCTAGTTTACATCCTACAAAGATTGACACTTATTTCTGTTACACCCTGTATATTTTNGTCATCCGCCGCCGTTGGGAGGCAATTGATGTATAATTGGGAGGGAATTCGACATACCGAAAATTTTAACCCTAATTAAAAACAGGTATATGGGAGGGAACTAGGCATTATCCTCTTTGCTAGTTGTCAATACTGCTGTAAGCTATATATCATCTCTGCAAATCCAAGTATACTAATCTTTTGCCCCTGTATATCTCTTGTCCTGTCTTTAATAATGTATATTGTCTTAAATAATTTTTAACCCCTTTCTTGACTTTGTTTTCACACCTGATTTTTAAATATTTGGACACTCTACTCCTTCTCCAATGAGAACTCTCTATAACGAAAGAAAACCTTAAATTTCTTTATACGTATACGGTTTTCACTATGTATTGCGATAAGCATTTATTAGTCACTTTTATTATGGAGCAATCTCACCTTAAAATATCACGTTTTATAAATATTTTCTGACTACCTCTAATTAGTTTTAAATAAAATGCTCGGTTTTTTATTTAAATATCAAATATTAAATGGAAATTAGCTAAGTACAAAGGTTATGTGAAGTAATTACCTATTCCAGTATATAAAATATACATAAATATGTGCTGCTAGTATTGTTCAGCTTACCTTTTGAATGGCAACACGAGTTTTCACAAAAACATGCCATTTTCACAAATTAATTTAAAATTACCTTTTTTTTTAGTTTTGTATATTTCAGATCGTCAAGAAAATGACACAGTAAATGACAGTTCAATTTATTATTTGTTGGAATTAGGACACAGCCTTTTTGGCTACTGCGACTACAATTTTAAATTGAATTTGAATTAAATTTTAAATTAGCTACCCTTAGCGGGAGTAGACATTTTGAAAAATAAAGAAAACATCAATGATCTATTAAATATATCACAATTCTGGACAGAAAAGGAAGACAACAAAATATATTAACACCACCTTAAAACTTTTGAAATACTATTAAACAAAGCGAAAAAGGAAAAAAGAAAGGAAAAGCAAAAGATTCTGCCTACAAGAAA